TCCTTATCTTTATCTTTATCTTCCTTATCTTTATCTTTATCTTAATCTTTATGTTCCTTATCCTTATCTTTATCTTCCTTATCTTTATCTTTATCCTCTTATCTTTATCCTCTTATCTTTATCCTTATCTTTATCCTTATCTTTATCTTCCTTATCTTTATCCTTATCTTAATCTTTATGTTCCTTATCTTTATCTTTATCTTCCTTATCTTTATCTTCCTTATCTTTATCTTTATCCTCTTATCTTTATCCTTATCCTTATCTTTATCCTTATCTTCCTTATCTTTATCCTTATCTTAATCTTTATGTTCCTTATCCTTATCTTTATCTTTATCCTTATCTTTATCTTCTTATCTTTATCCTTATCTTTATCTTCTTATTTTTATCCTTATCTTTATCGTCTTTATCCTTATCTTTATCTTCTTTATCTTTATCTTCTTATCTTTATCTTCTTATCTTTATCTTCTTATCTTCCTTATCCTTATCTTCCTTATATTTATCCTCTTATCTTCCTTATCTGACATGCACAAGGAGCCAAGTTCGATAAGCTCAGAATCGAGCTCTCAATAACTCGGAGCCTTGTATAAATTGCTTTCTCTCTTCCGATATAAGCTTCCTTATTGTTGTGTTTTACTCATTTGCTTCCAAACCGTCGAACAGAAATGATCAATCTTCTAAGGCACAAGCCATATCTTGAATTGTTGGGCACGTCCGAGCCTGATCAACAACAAGCACTACTGGAAACAGCAAGCGCCGAACAAGTACACTGCCTGTGTCTCTGTGTAGAAAACGTTATGAAAAGAAAATATTTAATGCCGAAGCATGTGATGAAGAAACTCCGACCTTACAAAAATGAAATGCTTAGGTTGGCAGATGGAGGAAAATGTGGAAGAAGAAAAAAACGGATACTCGTTCAACGTGGTGAAGGTTTCCTTGGACTATTACTAAGTCCTATTTTGGAAAGCCTGGCTGAACTTGTATAAAAGCCCTGTGATTACAATTTATACATCATTTCAACAATGAACATCGAGAGTAAAACATCTCCGCGACATTGGCGCATTGAAGATATACTTTTGTATCTGAACAATAATGTCAAAAAAACTACAGCAGAAAAAATGCTACATTCTATTCTTATATCAAGTGATATTTTAACTTGGAATCCTCAGGGTGAGATTGTTTATCATGGAAGAGACATTCCTGGTACTAACATCGAGAACTTTTTACAATACGCACTTTTACCATACAATTCTCACATTCCTGAACCACGAGGGCTCGACCTGTTTACAAAAGGTCTAGTAGAAGCAGGGGTTAATAAAGATTTAATCAAAAATGAGTATTTATTGTCAAAAATGGCAAAGGAGGAACATGAAATGCCACAATCTGAGAGTGATGTTGAAAGCGAATCTGAACAGGGAATCTGACAAAGGTGATAATGAAAGCGAATATGATGATAATGAGGATGATGATAATGAGGATGGTGAGCCCGAGAAACTAGCTTGTAACCATTGTGGAGAAGAGACTGGTCACATTGTATACTTAATGAAGTGCCCAAGATGTTCGTGGAAAGATTTCTACTGGGGCAAAGACGCTCAATGTATGATATGTGATGAACAGTCACCTCTACTGTTTTCGCATGTCATTGGTTTCTGCGAGCTATGTTCGTATGGTACGTCTAACACCAAGACGGGTGGATTGGAGTTCACACCAAAAATGGACAAATAAAAGACCCAGCAGATTGGACCGAACGTGACCTAGCGCGAATGACTCCGGAAGCAAGAGAGGATTATGAACGTTTTATATTGAGCGATAGACCGAAATATATTCCAATGAAGCCGGAAAAACTTGCAAAGTTATCCCCAGAAGATAGACAAGAATATGAGAACTCTTTAAAAATAACAAAAACACCTAGACGTTACGCTCTTAGAAGTAGACCGTACTAAATTTTGTAAAACGTTTTAAAGAAATAAATGTGTTTAAAAACTGAAATATTGTGTAATTTTTGCCGGCAAAGCCCGCTCTTTCCGCCCGCGCGAAAAGATCCGTGTACAAATATGTTGTACTTTAATATATGCATGTACCCGCAAAGCCACGCGCCTGATTTTAAGGTATACACCTGCGTTAAAAATAATCCCTATCTATCCATCGGGATACACTTAGTTATGCAAATTCGTATTACCTTAATCCCCTTAATTACCTACACGCCTCCTAATGACTTAGCAACGCATAACAACGCAACATTTGCAAAGTATAAAACATGTTTATTGATACAAATAACAGACGATAGTGTCAAAAAAATATTACAACTGTTCTAATTCTAACTTCTACTCTTGATAAGTTTTCTTATGATCATCTTAACAGTATATATGTATGTAGGAGGATTGCTAAATAATCTTGAACAACATGCAAATATTGACCATAACAACGACGTTGACAACTCGGGATTAGGAACTGTTTAGTTTAAAATATGTCTTGATTTTTGTGACGAATAGATTCCTTATTTGCCCTCGTTCGTTTTCGTTCATCATGCGGCAGTCATGTTGTCTTTGACTAGGATGATCGACTTGACAACCATTACAGGATTCCACACAAAGTCTTTCAACTTTTGGCTGCAAAGCGCTCCTGTCTTGTCTAAACCGCTTTCTCTCTTCCCGCACGGATAACCCGCGACGCCCGCGCAATGAATATCCTAATCTACCCGTATTTATCCACACAGTAGAAAAATGCAAATCTCTGATAAAAGTTAATCCTTTAATTAGTGTCACCCTAACAACACATAGCAACCGGTGTGCTTTAATATAGCTTAAATTTATTAACCTTATCCGAGTTTTAGTACAGTTTTGCTATTTGAAAAGGGCGTTTTGCTATTTGAAAAGGTCTTTCTGCTATTTGAAAAGGTCGTTCTGCTATTTGAAAAGAAGGTTCCGCAATTTGAAAAGGGAGTTCTGCTGTTTGAAAATGTTGAACAACATGCAAATAGCGATCATAACAACGGCTTTGACAACCCGGGATTAGCAACTGCTTATTTCTGTTGCGATATTTTTTATTTCTGTTTGGAAACTTACTGCTCAAAACGAACCATCAAATTCATTAAAAAATTAAAATGAATTTCAATTGCCTGTTGAAAATAAGAGAGGGACTCACAACGTTGCTACATGGTCGCGCTACCTGTCACAGTTGGCCCAGACTTGCCCGCGTTAATTGGTCGCGCTACCTGGCCAAGGGTTAGGGTTAGGGCCAACAACGTTACGTCACATATTTTGCATACTAATTACTTTCGGAGATTTTGCATACTAATTACTTCCGTTGCCCAAGTGGGGGGTATTACTACTCATCCCCGAAGACATTGACAAAGCAGATTACTTGGACGTATCGCAATGGAATTTGATCGCATTGGTCGACCTTATGGCTCAATCCGGCAAAGACAGACGTATTGCTGATCTTTTTACGAAAGAAAGTCATCATCGAAATTTGTTTATCATCTATATTGTCCAAAATATATTTCATCAGAGGAAAGAAATGAGGAATATCAGCTTTAATGCTCACTATATCGTGTAGTTCAAGTCACCAAGAGGTAAACAACAAATTCCTATGCTTGCAAGGCAACTAAATCCCGATAGAGTGCAAGAATTTATGAGGAGTTATAAAGAAGCCACGAGTCGATCTCATGGGTACTTGATGTTGGATTTAAAGTCAACAACTGACGACCAACAACGACTCGAGACAAACGTACTTCCCAGAGAGATTGCAAAGTTTACATAATATATATATATATATCGTCAACCACCGCTTGTAAACGCCATGAATGATGCCGAGCAGCGAATGAAAGAAAGTATGAATGCACCACAGCTTAGCGCCGTGGAAAAAAGCAAATTATACTCTGAACAACTAAATCGGTTTCTCACATTCAAAAATAAAATGGATGTCCCAGCTCAAGCTCCAGTTCAGACAACTCCACTAGTGCCTGCAGAGATACCACCACAAGTGCTTCCTACTTCTGTACCAGCGGAGATACCATCACCAGTGCCTGCTACCCCTAAACTTAATTTCTTTACACCACCACCAACAGAAGAGGAACAACCAAAACTCAAGCGCAATTTTTTTCACAATTGGGTAGACTGTACAGATTGGAGGCCCCAAGATTTGGCAATGATCAACCCTGAACAAAGAGAAAGTTACGAACAAAGATTACTTCGCGAGAGACCGAAATATATTCCAATGAACCGGGGAAACTTGCAGAGTTATCCCCAGAAGATAGGCAAGAATGTGAAAACTCTTTAAAATAACACAAACATCCAGACGTTACGCTCTTAGAAGTAGACCGTACTAAATGTTGTAAAACGTTTTGAAGAAATAAATGTATTTTAAAACTGAAACTTTGTGTAAGTTTTCGCCCGCAAAGCCTCGCGCCCAATTTTAAAGCATACACCTTTGTTATAAATAATCCCTATCTATCCATTGGGATACACTTAGTTATGCAAATTCGTATTGCCTTAATCCCTTTAATTACATACGTACACGACCGCTTAATGCCATAGCAACACATAGCAACGTATATAACAACAGCGTACTTGATAAAAACATATTTTTATCGCAAAATATATTACAACTGTTCTAATTCTGACTTACTATTCTTATGTTCTGAATCGTTCATCTAACAGTAAAAATATATATGTAGGTTTGCTAAATAATGTTGAACAACATGCAAATAGCGATCATAACAACGGCGTTGACAACCATGTTAATTAGCAACTGCTTAGTTCTGTTTTGAGATATGTTGCAATTTTTTATTTCTGGTTGGAAACTTATTTCTCAAAACGGCTCGTTTAAGAGCCATCAAATTCATTAAAAGAATTAGACCGAATTTTGATTGCAAAAATAAGCGAGGGATTGGGACGCACAACATGCTATATGGTTGTAAGGCAAAATAATTTTTTTACCGTACCGGGGTCGAACCGGTGACCTAAGGAATACTGATTTGGTAATAACTACAGTCCTTTGCTCTACCAACTGAGCTAACGGCATATTTTAAGAACTAACTTCTATTTCATACTTTTATACATGCAAATTATCAGAAACCTCTTGTTGATTTTATACAGACACTTGTGTAAAAGTTCATAGCAAGCCAAGATTAATCCCTCTATTGTATCACACACGTGGAGGGGCGCTAAAAAATGCGTAGACAGCAAGTTTTGTTCGACCTTGTTTAAGCTTGCCCGTGTTACGTCATTGCATATAATTATGACGTATGCTAATGATGAGTGACGTCAGCTCCGCTATCTATTAATTACCTCACCCTCACTACCCTCATTTGTATGAATATTAATTACCTCACCCTCACTCACCCTCATTTGTATGAATATTAATTACCTCACCCTCGTTCACCCTCATTTGTATGAATATTAATTACCTCACCCTCACTCACCCTCATTTGTATGAGTATTAATTAACTCACCCTCACTCACCCTCCCTCACCCTCCCTTACCCTCAAAAATCTGGGTCGAACGGTACCTACCCTTGTGGAATCAAACACTATTTAATTGCTATTTATTTCCTATTTTATTGGGCTATTTAATTCCTATTTATCAAAGTATTTATTTCCTATGTTTACTATTATTTTTTTCAAGGTTTTTCCTATTTAAATTAGGGTAGAAAGGCTATTTTTTTCCTATCCAAGTGGAACCATATTTTTTTCCTATTCATGATATATTTCTAAACAAATACTTAATTGATGTACTCGAATAGAAATTAAATAGGTTTCAAATATGATAAAAATACAGCTATTTAAGGAAATTATTAAAAATATTTAGTTTCGACATATTTAATAAATATGTATGAAATAGTTAACACATAGTGACAATATAGGTAAAAAATGTGTAATAAATAGCTGAAATGAGATTCAACAAAGTTTAAAATAGTCAATAAATAGTAAAAAATAGTGATAATATAGTTTAAAAATAGGCACTCAAAGAGTGGGTAAGGATTTGCAATTTTGTTGTCAATTTTATAATGCAAAAAAGATTGAAAAATATCAGTTAATAATGCAAGAACGATGAAAAAATCTCGCCCAAAATGTAGTATAACAAAAGACAACATCATGCATGACAAATCTTTTCTTGGAATGTCACTCAAAGTTAATCTACTACAACTTTTAAATGGCTTTATCACTGCCTCAAAGATAAAAGAATAACTGAATTTGTAGAAATGTTGAAGATATTTTATAACTTAACGTTTGGATAAAAAAACAACAAAATTATTTCGATGTTTTCGCATTCCGCAACAGGCAATACATTTCTAATTCATTTCCAATGAATACGAATGAAAAATGGAACAATACAGTTTTTATAGTGGAAACACCGCTTTTACTTTTATTTTACACGGCCGCTCCTGAGTTGAACGAATTTGTCTTTTAGGACCTTTTCCATTTATATTTCTAGCACAAAACAGTCATATATTCATTCGTTTAGCTAAAAGTAAGTGGTACAATGTTTAGTCGTTGGTGTATTCTACGAAAATGAGCGGGCTTTTTGCTCGAAAGATTGCGAATATCGACAAACACAAATGGCGGATAATAGCTTCCGGCGGTTCACGAATACTCGACTCGGAACTCAACGTCACTAATGTGTTACTATCTATCTATCTATCTATCTATCTATCAATCTATCTATCTTACACACCCGATGACATAAAGGATTTTGCTTCGCAAATCCTTAAAAATAGATAATAAATAGTTCAAAAATAGTGATAATATAGTTTAAAAATAGATAATAAATAGTTCGAAAATAGTGGTAATATAGTTTAAAAATAGATAATAAATAGTTCAAAAATAGTGATAATATTGTTTAAAAATAGATAATAAATAGTTAAAATACATCCCCAGCTTGTTAAAAATAGATAATAAATAGCGGATATAATATTGCCCAAATAGATTAAAAATAGTTAAAAAATAGTAATAACATATTAAATAAATAGTTAAAATATGTCCTGCTAATACAGTTAGAATATTTATTAAATATAGTGTATACAAATACATATAGCCTATAAATATTTTAAAAATATATTATAAATACCAGTAGTTAAAATATAGATAATAAAAAGTTAAAACATATAATGTAAATAGTCTTTAAATGAAATATAATTAGTAAGAGAAATTGAGAACAAGTGTAGAAATGCTGAAACATCAGAGGCTATTACAGACCTACTTTAGTATTTATCGTCTATAAATGCCAGACAATTTTACTTATCAGTAGGTAGAGGTCTGTCAATAAATGAGTTAAAAATCTGTAGTTAGCAGTCTCTATACTAGCCAAAGAGTTAAGTATATACATGCAGTAACTTGGCTGGGGACTGTGCAGAATAAAAGCAAGAACATCATGTAACATCAAGAATAGGGCGAAGCTCGGCTGCAGCTAAGTTCGGGCCTTCTTTACAGGTTAGAAAAAAACATTTATGTATTTGAATAATACCCTGAATCTAGCTGGATATTTTTCAACTATCCAACATATATTCTGTATGTAGCTGGATAGCAAAAACGTTCTATCTTGCACACCCCTACAAAGAACTTCAAGTAGGTAACATAGGAGCAAATTGCTCCTTTATAGGTGTTATAGGTAATATTAGGTGAGATATGGGCCAGCATGCCACAGTCGGTAAGTAAAATTGTCTACCATGAAATGTCAGAGTTAAATAATAATATCAATGTACTTAAGTAGGAAGTGTTATATGTCAACATGAAACATGGGCAGAGTCTAGCACTCTAGCTAGACAATTCCCTTGACAAATAAAATTGTCCGGCATTAGGCAAGATAACATTTAATAACAAAGTGCTGAATATTGGGCTCATTGTAGTGAAATGGGTAATTCCCAAAACAATCAAACCCTTGCCGGGGTGTCTCTAAAATATATAAAATGAAGCTCAAAGATTGTTACATATATTATTAAACAGATCATGAAGACATGTGGTGTAACTAAATGTATTCATAAGTTTGAACAAGCAAACTAAAGACTTTAACTGTTTTCAGTTAGGGACACGTCTATAATCAAGTTGCCAAACATGACAACAATACATCAAATTGATGTTTTGATCTATTCTAAACTGACCCACCTACATATGAATAAGTATTGGAAACTTATGAAAGTACCAGTTAATTTGAAACCAGTCGATAAATTTTCTCAAACCATGTTTAGCTGGGACATGCCTGGGTAGGCATATAAGAATTGAGTAGATGCCAAGCTATATTATTTTATACAAGAGACAGTGGAATCTGGCAATCTGTCATATACACTATACACAAAGGTCAAAGTATACTATTTGGCATTACAATAAACAACATTTAATATAAAGGCTGAGTCAAATGTAAGCCTTTTATAAAACTAATGTTGTTTTAATTCAAATATTGTCGAAGCAAATTGAAATTTTAAGCTGGAACATGTGCTCAAAATTCACGAATGAAGATAGTAAATATTTCCTTTCAAAATTGCTTTATTTATAAATAAAACATAACAAAATTCTTACCTGGATGTTACCCAGTCATTCCTGATGATTAATCTTTAAAATAAATATTACTTTCGCTCAATAAATGCTCTGTGTTTGGGTATTTCGAGCGGAAAGTTTAAACTCAAAAATTTTTAAATATGGCGGTGTGAATTGTGACGCTATCCCAGAAAGCTTTGCGCGTGTTGTTGGAAAATTAGGCACCAGTCTGTGGGTCTGTCAAACCGCGCTCTTCGTGAGAATTTTGGGTGGCGTTTTGTCAAGAGGCAAAATACCTATCTCCACAAAGACTATTAAAATTTTTGTAAATATAATTTCAATGAACGCATAAAAAATTTAAAATTAACTCAAACTGGGAAATTTTGACCAGTTAAATAAATACATTTTATTTACCCTTTCTCAATTTTCACAACTTTCTATGAATAGGAATTAAATAGCTATTTAATATCTATTTATTTTCCTATTTAATAACTATTTTAACAATGCTCAATAATAGCTCCAAAAATAAAAGCAAACATAGTTTAAAAATAGCTATTTAATAGCTATTTGGAACAAAGTTCGCCACAACTTTCTATGAATAGGAATTAAATAGCTATTTAAGATCTATTTATTTTCCTATTTAATAACTATTTTAACAATACTCAATAATAGCTCCAAAAATAAAAGCAAACATAGTTTAAAAATAGCTATTTTATAGCTATTTTGAACCAAAGTTTGCCACAACTTTCTATGAATAGGAATTAAATAGCTATTTAAGATCTATTTATTGTTCTATTTAATAAATGCGTTAAGAATGGCTCCAAAAAGATAAGCAAAAGTAGTTTAAAAATAGCTATTTAAAACTATTTTAACTGACTCGTTTGTCATCAATAGGAATTAAATAGCTATTTAAAAGCTATTTTATAGTGAGATTCGGTCAAAGACTCTTTCAAATAGGATTTGAATACCTATTTAAAAGCTATTTTTTTTTTAAAAATATAAATAACATATATTTTAAATAGAATGTAAATAGTCATATACTACACTGTTAATTTGGAGGTGTCTATTTAACACCAAAAAAGGTGTTAAATGGAAATGGCAAAAATGACACCATTTTGGGTGCTATTTTAACACCACTTTGTAGGGTGTCAAATTAGCACCTGGAAAGGTGTTAAAATAACCCCGTTTTTGATGTCATAGTAACACCGATTTCGGTGTTGTTTTAGCACTCTAACCTTGGTGTTAAAATAACACTCGATTTTATTGCAATTTTAGCATTACCGAATATTAAAAATGTATATCCCTTCCTATCCAACACACAAAACAATTAAAATAATCTATTGAAAATTTTATTTATATTATACTTAACAGCATTGCTCATCTATGTCATATATGAAGTATATAGTAAATTAGAAACTTATGTTTAACAAATATAAAACATTTTCCGTGTTGATATACAGTTATATCAACACGAGTGGAATTTGGGAAAACGAGAAATTGTGCGGAAACACGACACCCAAAGGGCGGAGTGTTTTCATACAATTTCGAGTTTTCCCAACTTCTACGAATGTTGATATAACTATATATCAATACGGAAAAAACGTTTTATATTTTTTTTATAATATAGCATGTCAAAAGCCCGAAGGATAAGAAAAATTTCCGTGTTTACAAGCGGCGGAAAATTTCCCGTGTTGACATTGAGTTATATCAACACGGCTCTTAGCCAATCAGCGTTCAGAATTTATAAATGCTATATTATAATCTAAAATTCAACTTTTTAACGAGTTCTCGCACCTATAAGGTTTACGCATAGAAACATTCACAGAAATAGCCCATGATTGTGACGGCACTCTGGTAATTAAAGATAAGGAGAATATCGTAAACCTCCGACTATAAGCCCTGGGCTTCTATACTTTCGTAAGCGATTTTTAATGGGCTTATACAGGGGGGGAGGTCTTATATACAGAGGGGCCTATACATGGACGATCTTTTGTGTTATTGTAATAGTGATAAAGAAGTATAGTAATAGTGATAAACAAGTGTTGAACAAGCATAGTAATAATATAATAAACATGCAAGTGGGCTTATATTTGGGTGGGATTATATTCGGGGGGGAGGGGCTTATATTTGGAATGAGGTGAGCGTTAGTACACGTGGTGGGCTTATACACGAGGGTTGGGGTTATATTCGGGGGGGGGCTTATATTCGGAGGTTTATGGTATATCCTGCATGTACAATACATACAGTACATTGAAGGACATTGGCAATAAAAATTTTTATTGCTTTAATTATCTGAAAGAGCATGAAAAAATAAGCCGATTGGACGTTTAATGCTCTATTCTATCTCATCTAGCCTGCGTAGCAGGCAGTATTCGCGGGCACGAGAGAATGGGAAGCTTGAAATACCGCCTGCCCAAAAACTACACATTCTGAGTTCTCCCCGGCAGCTGGGTGCCGGAGCATTCTGATTGGTAGCCTGCGTAGCAGGCGGTATCTGATTGGTCAGAATGTTGATTTTGAATTTTTGATTGACAGGAGTACAGAATTAGAATAATTAGTGCTAATTTTAGAAGTTACTGTCGCCGTATTTATAATATACAGTATTGTTATTTTCGTAATTGATAACGATATATCGAGTGATGGCATACACTAACCAAAAGATAACGAATGTATTAATTGAGAATTAAGCGTTGAATTCTTTAATCTTTATCTGGAATCGGAAATCGCTTCGTCTTGAAGAATGAACAACGAATATCAATCCAACATTTGTTGCTTGATAAAAGTTCAGATTTGAAGATACAGTCTCGTAAATGACACTCTAAGTCATGTTTTTGATAGCGATTGGAACAAGCCTATTACAAAGCTACGTCTGAAGGGGCCGAAGTTGTGTTCGGCGAAAAGTATGGCTAGTCTATATTTTTGTTCAGACAATTGCGTAATTTGATAATACACGAACTCGCTTGACTTTCAAAGCTCACAAATCGCTATAATGTTCACATCGACTAAAACTATCGCTATGAATGAGGACATATTGTTACACTGAATCGAACGTGGTATTTTTGTCTTCATAGCATTGAATGAACCGAAGATATGAAACGTCAAAGCCGTGTATTTGCACTGGTGTAAATACGTGAGTTTGACAAATAATTAAAATAAATACATTACTGTAAGATGGGCGGGACCATGCGGTGGGCGGAACTCAGAATGTGTAGTTTTTGAGCAGGCGGTATTTCTAGCTTCTACCGCCTGCTAGGCAGGCTAATCTCATCTGGTTCCGAAGTTATGCGCAAAAATGTGCAAAATATTGATTGCTGATTCAGCACAACGTGTGACGTCATTGGTTGGGTAAGTATGTTTATTGAATAGTAAACTGAAGCATAGCTCAGTTATTATTGGCTCAAAAGAAATGAAATTTTGCACATAGATAGTACATGATGAGACGCATGGGAAAATACTTCTAATTTTGTTGTCAAGGCAACACAGTTGTTCCCAGGCCCCTTACACTGATTTTGAATAACTA